AAGTGGTTGTTGGCTTGGTGGGATGAGCATTTCGCACTTTGTTATTATAAGTTTATGATCGGACGAACCAAGTGGAGCATCTACTTGAATTGTGTACGAGTCAGGATTTGTGGTTAGGAACAAGTCTAAAAGCGCTGCAAATTCGTCCCTTTCTGAGATATTAACCGTAACATATTAATAATTCGGTATTTATTGCCGTAATGTGTAACGATTCCAAGGGAATGGGAAGCTAAATGAATCTCTAACAATAAATATTGCTATAGGTTAAAAAATAGATTCAAAAAATTATGGAACTTTTCTACAACAATTAAATATTGTCATAGGTATGACTAAATAAAATGTACGGTGAGAATTTTCTGAATTGACGACTTAACATTAAACAATACCTATAGGTGTATAATTACGAGGTTTTCTACAAAAAAAATTAGGCCCATGTATATAAATTGAAATACTGATTCTCTGTCCGAAGTTTTCAGTTAGAACTGAGCTTCTGCTAATTGTCCCAAATTTGGATTACTGCACAATACCTTACTTGTACTTTTTTCTATACCCTCGTGCTCGGAGACGACCCACTAGAGCCAATGCGTGCTCCATCAATTTAACCGCCAGGAAACCCAGAGATAGAATGAACCACGCGGTTCGTGGAATGTGTAATGTGGAACCCCGAGGATCGAATGATTTGAATGGTCGATTTGGAGTTTGGTTCAATTTCATCATATGTATCTTGTGCACGCTGCTTCGGTTGCTTGTATTTTAGGTTAATTGAAATTTATTTGATTCATTCCCTGATACGTCATCAAATATTCTGTATTCCTTGAATTCAAAAATCCCACAAATAGTCGCAATTCGACTTACGCCTTTTCGTTACACTTCAAAAAAACATATTTTATATACGGCAGGGATGCAGGGCCGCCGCATCTCCTCAACTATGTTCAGTATCAAGTTCATGTCCGCATACGTTGCATAGCCTCACCAATTGATCAAAAAAAAAAACGCTTTCTTTTCTTTCCTTTTCCTTTCTTTTTTTTTATTAATCCGAAAACTCTAAGTTTACTAGTAAACACATCACATAACCCCACCAAACCATCAGCACTCGCAAGACTTTTTGACCGCATCAACAAATCAAATTAAATTCTACGTTCTACATACATGTGGTTTCAGGCTAACTATGTTGAACCTCCCTCTAACAGATCCATCTTCCAGATTTTCCATTTCATAGGCATTATGTCCTACAATCTTCTCAATTATGTACGGGTCCTCATAAAGCAGAAACAACATTTTTATCTCTTTGTCTTCTGCTGATGATATGTGGTTGCTCTTTAGACATACCAAATCTCCCACAGCAAATTGGGTGAACTTCTTGTTTTATTTTTTCTCTCTCTCCTCTTCTCTGCCTTTGGACATTAATGTTTCTCTGATCAACTTGCTACTGGATCTCTCTTTGGGAAAAGAAAAAATCTTCCTTATTTGGTCCCCTGGGTGGGCCTTCTTTTCCAGAAGTATTGGAGCATATTCAGTAGATTCATGTACAGCGCAGTTGAGCAACAGTTCTACTTTTTTGACATGCTTAGCCCAAGCTGTATGCTTATGGTGACATATCATTCGAAGCAGTCTTCCAATTTCCCTCATTGGTCTTTCACTAGGATTGCTTTGAGGGTGTCTAATCGTACAATACAGGTTTCCAATCCTTTCATTTTCCAAAAATGCTCCCCACTTTCCTGACGTGAATTGTGTTCCATTGTCTGACAGGATCCTGCGGAGTTTCTTGACATATGTAAAATAGTCCTCCAATGTTGATATTAACACACCCGTGGTTGTCGAGAAGCGGAAACTTCTGGCCATTTACTGAAGTAATCCATGATAACCAAAATGTATTTGGTGCCACGCTTTGACTCAGGAAACGGTCCGACAAGCGAAAGTTTTGTTAACTCCAAAATGTGCCCCTGAAGTTCCGTCATGTATTTCTTTTAATACATCTTCTACTCGATCTTTTGGAATAGGTAACCAGTTGGCTCTTAGTGGATTTCTCATCGGCACTTTCCCAAACTCTTTTGAGTAAACCATTTTCTACGGCCAGAGAGTTCCACTGAGCCCACAACGCCTTGTAAGTCAAGCTCTTGTTCGATACTTCCCTACATTCTGGCCTACATTCATCATTTTCTTTAAGATGTAGAAATTGCTCGATGTCCTGGTCTGCTTTTTTATCTGCTCTCATTTGTTTGATAGTCCATTTATCATCAACAATCAGACCCATTCTTCTCAAAGCTGGACCAGTGTTTTTCTCATGCATATCCATTCAGCATTTTCGGGAGTTTTCATTTCTAGAAGCCATTTAGAGCCGTGTGATCTGTTCGAATTAGAAACTTACGGCCGTAGAGATACTTACGGAAATGGTCGACTGCTTTTACTATGACAAACAACTCTCTTCTGGTGACACAATAATTTCGTTCCGGCTTTAATAAGGTTCTGTTGTAGTACTCTACGACATGCTCTTGTGAATTTTGGATTTGTGAAAGGACAGCTCCAATACTGGTGTTGCTTGCATCTGCGTCTAAAATTAACATACCTTTCTGATCGGGATAGAACAACACTGGGCTCGTACATAATGCTCCTTTCAATTTTCAGAAAGCGGAATCGCATTATTGAGTCCAATTGAATGTTGATTTTTCTTCCGTCAATCGATGAAGCGAAGCAGTTCTATTGGCGAAACCTTCCACAAATCTTCGATAATAAAAACATAACCCGAAACATTCAAAAGCCGCAAACATTCTCGGAAACTTTCCGGGAATATTGGAAACTTTCGGGAACTTATGGAAATATTGTTTTGTTTTTTTTTTTAATTTATAACTAAATCAGACAAATCGTAGTAAGTCTTATTTACCTATTATTGTAGTATACTGACTATAGACTTTAAATTAAAAAAAAACACATCTTTTTTTCTGTAAGATCAGCTAAAAATTAAACTATGTAGTAAAAACACTTTTATGGATGGTTGAATAAGGCTCTAAAGGAAAAGCTGTTCCGATTGCCCAATCTCTCAGCTCTTAATTTTTTATCTTTCTTCAATGAAGATTATTTAAAAAAAAAAAGACGAAAAGTGGGCTGTAGGTATATCAGCTGGTGATCGGGTAAATCGGATCAGTGTTTCCGTAAAAACAGTTGGACTGGGCTACGTCATCCACGTGAATTGAAATGACGTCACTGAGACCTTGCATTTTTATAGAATTCTTCTAGATAGTTCTTGGAAATATTCTCAAAAGTTCTCGGAAATATTTTTTTGAGAGTTCTTGATTGAAAGTTTCCGGGAATATTCTCATTCAGGAGAACGTTTCCATTTTTTATCGTCGAATATTCTCGGAAATTTCCCAATGTTCGCAAATATTTGCATGGGAATATTCTCGACTCACATCACTACTCCTTGGTCGATAAAAATTAGTTCTGCTTTGTGGTTTCGAGAAATTGCTGCAGATACCATTAAATACCTGCTGATTTTTTCAGTGGTAGGTATATCTGCTTTTTGATCTTGGAGGGTAACTCGTAGTTGATCGTTCTGCGAATTTTTTACTCTGGATAAGGTGAAAATTTTCTCATCAGTAAACCAAATTTTTTGGATTCTATACGTCTTCATTAATTACACATGAATAAATATTCTGTCAAAAAAAAATTAAAGATAACTTGGTAGTAAGTTGATGGAGTTTTTTGAGATTATGTTATAGCGCTCATTTTGAAAATGTATTATTCAATTGAGAAAAGTTACAAGTAATTATCAATTATTGGAAATTTTGCAAATTTTTAATCCAAACACATACTTTTTATAAGGTAAAATTTACAGCTAAAGTCAAGATTTTTTCTTTTCGATTTTAAACCCATCTGCGATTTGAATGCGACCGTCTGCCAGAGTTTTTTTTTTAACTTTGGTTAGTAACATATTTAATAATGTTTCGACACAAAAATAACACTGGTAACCTTTGAGGAAGTTGATGGCGTTTTTTTGACATAAATAGCGATCACTTCCAACGGCAGACGCCTACGATTTTAATTTGGTTGTGATCTCAGGCGATTTTCAGGTAATATTTAGGTTGGTATTAATTGGGTATAGTCAACCATCCAAGGACCTTTTTTTTTCAGTTATACATGTAAACCCCATACTTTGTGAGTGGCTTGCTTACATCAAGTCCTACAACTTTTCCTCTACGACTTTTCTCGGAAATGGCACGTATGCGCGTAGGCGACTCGCAAACATTTTAGGGGTATCGGACTCCCCCAATTTGCCATTATTTTTGTCGGCCAAGTTGATTTCCGTGATTTAGAAATAAAAATCAAACAGTATTCGTAAAATTAGATTTACCTACATGTATCAGGAAACATAGCTACGTCAAATCGACATGTTTGCGAGTCGCTTGCGCGCATACGTGCCATTTCCGAGAAAAGTCGTAGAGGAAAAGTTGTAGGACTTGATGTAAGCAAGCCACTCACAAAGTATGGGGTTTACATGTATAACTGAAAAAAAAGGTCCTTGGATGGTTGACTAGTAGTTCTGAGCGATTTTTAATTTTTTTAGAAAAAACTAAATCTAATGAAGCGACCACTTACGCCCGACAGACAGACGCTTTTGGAATCACCATGTGAAGTAATACCGACATGTCAATTCAAACCTCTGGTAACTTATGGGGCAGTTGTTTTTACTGCCAGTTCTCGAACTATCGGCTTACTGAAGCACAGAAAGTGTTGCCAACGTTTACTTGATCTATTATTTCAAATTTATAAGCTATTAAATTAAGAAGGAAAAATTACTAACACCGCATCGATTTGATGGTGCTTGAAAGCTGTCCAAGAATGAACACACTGAAAAGTTTGTCCGGTTGCGTTTGAACGAATGCTGAAATGCGTTATTAGTTAACATTGGGAAATAATGGATTTAAAAGAAGTTTTTATAAATTTTGAAAAACTTCATTCTTCATTAATTTTACAAATTCTGACTTGATTTTTTTTTGTTTCAGTTCTTCCACCATCGCCCAGCTATAGTCTAGCCACCACCCACGTTTTGAGCAACCACAGCACCACCTCTCATTCACCTGAGAATCCCGAGGAAACACGGGCGCCCAGTACCAATTCGAGCCATTCACCTCAACCACAACCGTCGTCCTCGACCACGCCCACTAATACGAACAATGCCCAAAGCAAACCGCCCTATTCGTACGTAGCTCTGATAGCTATGGCCATACAGTCTTCACACATGAAAAGGGCAACCTTGTCCGAGATATACTCTTATATAACGTCAAAATTTCCTTATTACGAGAGAAACAAAAAAGGATGGCAAAATTCGATAAGACACAATTTAAGTTTGAACGAGTGCTTTGTAAAAGTACCAAGAGAAGGTGGAGGTGAAAGAAAAGGCAATTACTGGACCTTGGATCCTCAATATGAAGATATGTTCGAAAATGGGAATTACAGACGACGGAGAAGGATGAAGAGACCTTACAGGTCAACGCAACCTTATCCGAAATCTTTCTTCGGTGATGCATTAGGACAACACGGGCTTGCACCGTTGCCGAGGAATATTTTCACTTCTCCCACAGCATATCCGCCTCCGTATTCGAGATACGAGCCTTCTTGGATGGCACCTTCTCAATTAGCTTCTTATACTACTTGCAATTCGGGAGGGTATGCACAACAAGGGTAAGCAGGATAATTTTATTAGAAAATATTAATTAGATAATAGTTATTTGTATACCAAAGCCGCGAAATAACTTTTAAGGTGCGTAGAGAAAAGTTATCGCCGCGGCCGCTTGCAGCCGAGGCAAAATAATCTCGAGGACGCTAAAAGTTTCGCGGTATTTAATGGTATACACCTCAGATTAAGTCCGGTCGTATACCAAGGAAACATCAAACATGCAACATGCAACTTGCGACATGAAGTAAATACCGCAGATAGACTTGTGCCGCATATATCCAATGTAAAAACGTACAATGGATATATGCGGCACAAGTCAACCCGCAGTATTTACTGCATGTCGCACGTTGCATGTTTGATGTTTCATTGGCACTGCACTAACACATGAAAAAGATAGATTTATTATCATTATAAGTTTGCCTCAAATATTAAATCTCATTCTAAGATTTCTTGCGAACACTTACTGCAGATCTGTTATATTTAAAAATTGTCCTAAGTTGCAGGGAAAATGAAATTGGAAATAGAAAACATAAAATATCGTAAATATAAAAACCTAGATAGGTATACAGGGTGGTCCATTTAACTTGACACAGTCTAATATCTCAAAAACGGTGCGTTTTTGAAAAAAAAAATTCAAACAAAAGTTACATGGTGTCATGGGGGAAGCAAAATGGCAGCTCTGATTTTTGACTTTGACAAAGTTTTCAAGGTTATTTTAAAATCAACTCTTTTTTTTTTAATGAAAACGTTTTTTTTTTTATTGCAGAATCTTATTCTACGGAAAAAAATAAGTAACTTTTACTTGAATCATTTTTCGATCCGGTTTCAATTTAAGCTAATAAAAAAGAACGAATCATTTTTTTAAATTTTTCTCCTCAAAATCGAAAAGTAGAGAAAGGTTACCGTATTAAAAAAATACCTCGAAAACTATAACAATTGTTCAAAATGATGACCTACAACCTTTGACCCTCCAACTTCAACACACTTCTCAATTCACCTTAAAAATCAAACAGACCGTTTATCAAGAGGTTCCCACAGCACCGGAAAATATGATAGAACGCATAAAAAATGCCAAGGTATTTTTCAGCTCTCCCCGAATCCCCCCCCCCCCGGCGGTAGTCACCCTAACCTCAAAATCTTAAATGGCACTATGGGTAGCCCATGCTTCGAGTTAACAACTTTCCCCTCTTGGGGAGGTGAACACTGTCAGGTACAGTGAGAGGAAAGGGGTTTAAAAAAATAAAATCTTGATGATTTTTTCGACATTCATTCAATTCTTCTATTTTGCATAAAATCGATTTTAAATCACATTTGCCTATTCTGTCCGATCAAATCAGGTTTGCATCAAAAGTAGAGTCACATTTAAATACGGATAATTTTTTTTTTTTTGGAGATCCATTTAGAGAATTAAAAGACATTTAAAACAAGGTATCAGATGATCTATAGTGCCGTTTAGGATTTTGAAGTTAGGGTGGCTACAACCAAAGAGGTGGTTCGGGGAGAGCTGAAAAGCACCTTGTTTTGGTTCCCCCTTCCAAGGCTCAAAACGTTTTTTTTTTTATCGATTACCGTTTCCAAGATATAGACCATTGACAGTTTTCGGTGGGACACCTGGTAGATAGAAGGTATTTTCTGAGGTATCAGTCTAAGGCAGGCCGCACATCAAAGAAACATGAAACGTGAAACATAAAACATGAAACGTAAAACATGAAACAATAAATTACGAAAAGCGAAACCGTTTCTTTGTTGCATACTAATTGAAGAAACAAGAATAATGTTTTTAAAGTCTTTTGGTAGTGTAGTGGAGTATAGAAGGTAGCACACAATGGAAAGAGTTGACGAGCAACAACAACTGCTGTTATGACAACTTTTCTATTATAGTCAAAAAGCCAAAAAAATAAAGGAAACGACGTTACTGGGTAAATCCGTACAGTATACTTTTCACTGTTAGGCAACATTTTGGCAGGCTTTTTCTTATGATTGTCTATTCGAGTACTTCTCCATGTTATACTTATACAATTCTCCATCTTGCTCTATTACTAAAACGAACACAATATTGAATTCTTGGTCGTAATTAATTTTTTTATGACCAAAAACCGTGAAACTGAAACGGAAAAATAGAACCCGATCTATTTCATGAAACACGTTTCAAGTAATAAAAATGTTTCTCGCGCATGAAACAAATTCGTTTCATTGGTGAGCGGACTTGTATTTGTTTGTTCTTGTTCTATTCTCATGAAACGAGTTCCACGTTTTATGTTTCATGTTTCACGTTTCATGTTTCTTTGATGTGCGGCCTCCCTTAGTCCCCTCGTTTCATGAGAATAGAACAAGAACAAACAAATACAAGTCCGCCCACCAATGAAACGAATTTGTTTCATGCGCGAGAAACATTTTTATTACTTGAAACGTGTTTCATGAAATAGATCGTGTTCTATATTTCTGTTTCAGTTTCACGGTTTTTGGTCATTAATACATTCATAAAAAAGTTAAATACGACCAAGAATTCAATATTGTGTTCGTTTCAGTGGTAGAGCAAGATGGAGAATTGTATAAGTATAACATGGAGACGTTCTCGAATAGATAATCACAAGAAAAAGCCTGCCAAAATGTTGTGTTACAGGTAAAAAGTACATTATTATTGTATGGATGTACCCAGTAACGTCGTTTCCTTTATTTTTTTGGCTTTTTGACGATAATAGAAAAGTTGCCACAACAGCAGTTATTATTGCTCGTTAACACTTTCCATTTTGTGATACCCTCCATACCCCAAAAGACTTTGCAAACATTATTCTTGTTTCTTCAATTAGTATGCAAGAGAGAAACAGTTTCGCTTTTCGTAATTTATTGTTTCATGTTTTACGTTTCATGTCTGATGTTTCACGTTTCATGTTTCTTTGATGTGCGGCCTGTCTAAGGGCTAAATAAAAATCTCAAAACTTTTGTGGTACGCCTGGCTTTCGAAAATTTTTATTTTCTTCTTCAGGGCTACATAAAAAGGAGAAAAATATGTATGCAAGTAAATATTAAAACAAGGGCTTAGTGCTACGTGTTTTAAATGAAAAAATATCAATCACACGAAAAATTGGCATCGTTCGAGTGCCGGAAATTTTTTCACGCAAGCGATAGGAACTATATTTTTTCTACGATCGTACTAAAGGTGATGTTAGGAAAAATGTAATTCAAATAAAATGCGACTGTGCAGGAGGTAAAATTTAAAATCTATGTGTTACAAACACAGTGCAAACAGGTTTCTGCTTACCGGTAACCAGCGCCGGCTCGGTTAGAATAAGATGGGTTTCAAAAATGGCACCGCTGTAACCTGCCCCTCCATTTTCCCGGCTGCCTTTATCAGAGGCGTGCATCAGTTTTTCTACCTCCCCGCCCACAAGTTCGTCTAAGTTATAAAAACTTCAATTGGCCCCTGTTTCGGCAGAATCTCAATACTCGTACCCAAGTTCCTGGTCAAATTGACACCGTAGACGCTCTTGAGCAAGAGGTGACAACCTTGACTCCCCTTGCTAACCGGGTAACTGTCCATCAAGGCCGTGACGAGCTTTCTCGAGAGCTCATAGATCTTATTTCACTGAAGAATCGCACCCGGAGGAGGTGGCAACGCCTCCGAAGGGACGAGGATCGCCAACGAGTTCGGGAGCTCGAGGGTGCCATTAAGAATGGCATCAGCGAGCTTCGGAACCGTAAGTGGACACAAACCCTCCAGAACCTACGTCCTCAAGACAACTCTCTGTGGCGCCTTCAGTCCAAAATGAAGCGGCAATCTGTGCGTACCCCTGCCATTACTAGTAATGGTAGGGATTGCGTCACTGCCCAAGACAAGGCGGAAGCTCTGGCTTCGTTCATGGAGAGTATTCATTCCGGTCTCCCACCAAACTCCCCTGAACAAGAGGAAATCGAACGTACAGCGACAGCCTTTGCTATTCGGAAATACCCCATCCCCCAGCACTTGCTCGCTGAACTCATTGCCACGCCCGGCGAGATAACACGACTTATCCGCCGGCTCCCAAGCGAGAAGGCCCCCGGACCAAATGGCATCCCAAATCGAGTCCTCAAAAATCTCCCGCGTAAAGTTATTGTCCAGTTGGTACAAATAACAAACGCAATCCTCAAACTTCAGCATTTTCCCCTTCAATGGAAAATGGCTGAGGTGGTTATGATCCCCAAACCTGGAAAAAACCATTCACTCCCATCCTCTTACCGCCCAATCTCCCTTCTAAACTCCTTTGCCAAGCTCGTGGAGAAGTTAATCCTGTCCAGGGTCAACAGGATCGTCGAAAACTTCTCCATACTCCCAAACGAGCAGTGGGGTTTTCGCCCACGTCACAATACCACTCTTCTTGCAGCCAAAATCTGCTGCGACACTTTCCAAGCGTTCAACAGGCGCATGAACACGACACTTCTGCTCCTGGATATGAAGCGCGCCTTCGATAGGGTCTGGCATGCAGGCCTTATCTATAAATTACTCGCAACTTTCAATTTCCCACTACACTTCATCTCCCTGATACAGTCTTTCATCAACGGCCGCTCTTTCTGCGTCAAACAAGAAGACGCCCGCTCACACTCCAAACCAATTCAGGCCGGAGTGCCGCAGGGGTCGGCACTCAGTCCACTGCTGTACTCACTCTACACAGCGGACATTCCAAAATTCCAGAATACAAATCTGGCGCTGTACGCAGATGACACCGCTGTTTACGCTCAATCCTTTTACACACAAGCAACAAAATTTCAGCTCGGCCACCACCTTGCAATCCTTCAACCTTATTACGATAAGTGGAAGCTTGGTGTTAATGGTCAAAAGACTGAGCTCATATGCTTCCATAAGAAGCATACCAATAGCACCATGCCCACCCCACTTATCGTCAATAACATTCCAGTTACTCTGTCCCCAAAAGCCAAATACCTAGGTATCATCTTTAATCAGAGAATGAAATTCCACCACCACGTCTCCCACGCTTTGGCTTGCACCTTCAGTGCGCAGCAGAAACTCTACCCACTCATCGGCCCTAATTCCCCCCTATCGCCAGGTAACAAGCTATTAATTTAAAAACAGGTAATCAGACCTATGCTCACCTATGGGGCCCCTGTCTGGAACATAATCTCACGCACGCAGAGGAACCGCCTCCAACGATTCCAGAATCGTATATTGAGGGGAGTGCTGTCTGAATCCAGGTACGCCAGTATAACGGATATGCATGAGCAGACATCCATTCCGCTTATATCTGACTACCTGGATGAAATCAGCGAAAAGTTTTACAGGCATCAAGTTCAAGGCTCCCCTCTAACCCGCAGAATCACGGCACAAAGATATGATCCAGACAACCCCATAGTTCACGGTCCGCCTTACAAGAATCTACCTATCTATTTTGAACCCCCATGAACACCTCCCTATCCTAAACCTGCTAATCACAACCCCAAGTAAAAACCCAGACCAATGCACAGCTAAAATCCTATCTTCAAGACAGAATTAGACAAGTACTTTGGCGCTGGCGCCATCTGCCTAAGCCTAAAGCAGGAGGCTCTGGCAATCCCGATAAAGGTCTAATTTCTACCATCTGTTCTTTGGACAATTCCAACTGGTCAGCGATCTAGTGTGTAAACATCTCCTTTATCGCTGGCTATGAGGAAATGCACTTGTCTAATTAAACATCGGACAACCCCAATCTGACCATCATACTTAGGCAAAATTGCCCAATTTAGCTGCAAATGCATATCCCAATCCCGGTAGATTCTTGCACCCAATCCTCCCAACCCGCATTCTTTGACATCCCTCACCATCTTCCTTCACCTGCACCCAAACCACTACCTAGCGACTCATCAGACCTCAGGATTGGTCGGGGTGCAGGGCTTTCGACCCCATTTTATCCAAACCCGCGCTCACGCGCACAAACCCTTAGCTTGCACTTTGCTGTTGAGGTAGCGTCCATGATGGACCATATCGCCCTACAGGGCACGACTTTTTTGTTCTGTTTTTATATTTTATTAAGTCAATTGGAAGTGGGGTTTTTTCGAAACTTTTCCCCACGAAGAGGGCGCTGTGCGCTCGACATCCCCTACCATCCATCTACCCCTATTTTTTGAGCGGGCCAGTGTAATGGCCCAATGTGAGCCATTCGTGGTATTTTCCAGCGACATCAAGGTCACAGAATAACATAGCTCGCTAGGCGCGCATGTGACACGCAGTGTGCTGCGCACACTGAGTGTTAGCTATAAGTTCTGTCCCTAGATATAAGTAAATGTTATATGTATTTTTGTTAGAGGAGGGCCTCACCTTCCTCAACCATGTAACTTGTAATTTGTTAAATAAAGAGATTTTGAGTTTGAGTTGAGTTTTTCTAGATCATGAAAAATTAAGAATACAAATGTTTTCGTTTTCGATAATATTTTTGAATGATGGACTCTCCTAAAATAATATTATATCGCATATTATTCTTTCTTTACTTTATTTGTGTATTTAAAAGAACTCTATAATAGATTAGTATTTGCTTAAGGTCTGTTCCCACAGGAGTCTCTGACAGTTTGCAACCTGTCAGAAACAATCGCTCAGCTGAGTTACAGATTTATCTTGTAACAAGAGCATTGAAAACATATATGGGCGATGCTTACTGACAGTTTGCAAACTGTCAGAGACTCCTGTGGGAACAGACCTTTTATGTCCTCTAAATATACAATTAAACACACCACTGCTTGGCTGAAAAAAACATAACCTCACGTACCGTCGAAATACCAATCCAGGGTTAGAATAAGCAATCTTTTTCACAGATCACGCAATGTCGAACCATTGTTGTTGCTAATAAAATATAAAAGACGAAAAAAACACTGAAAATTGATTGAAAATCGCAAATATTTCCAAACACAGCACAGCAACACTGCATAGTCAATTTTTGACATAAAATGATTGAACGTGTCACTGGAGTAAACAGCGTTGCCACAGCTATTTCCCTAATATATTATAAATTTACGTCACCTATTCAGAAACTGAATAATTTCAATAGTAAAAATTACAGATTTTATTTGGAAAAACGTACATTCATATGTGTAGTAACATTTTCAATTGAGATGACACAAATGATGCATGCAATATAATCAACATTCCCTAAGTTTTCAAACACAGGCGGTAAATTTAGGGCAATCCGCAGAAATTCGCCAACATTGATAATAATTTTCCTATTGTTCTAGTTTGTTTATTTGTGATTTTTATTGATGGTGTATTCTTAAATAATTTAGTGATTTTATTTGAAATATTTTTTATGAAAGGAATGGAAAAATAATATGTTTGTACATTAGTAGATGAAGGAGTTCTATCTTGGGTGTTACTATTATTTTCTGTATCTGTTTGTTCAAGAGTATCAACAGAAGCTGTGCTAAAAATCAATTTTTTTAAAAGTTTGGATGGGTAAGAGTTATTTATTAATATATTGTAAAGTTTTTCGAAATAATGTTTTTTAGTGATGGATGCGAAATTTTTTCAATCCTTGTTTTTAGTGTGATAATTAAGCTAATTTTGGTTTTAGTGGTATGATATGAATAGAAATTCATGTATCTTCCAGAACTAGTTGGTTTTAATTACCAATCTAATATTATTTTATTATTATGATTTCTAATTACTTTCGTATCTAGAAAAGGTAAACTTTTGTTTTCTTCCCTTTCTATAGTGAACTGTATATGTGAATTATAGCTATTGAATATTCTAAATTTTTTTCTATATTATCATTCAGTACTGATGTTATGATGTCGTCCACGTATTTTTTTAAAAAAGGCATCTCAAAAGATAATTTAAGTAAGAAAGCTTCAATTAGATTATCCATTACATATTGTGAAAGTATAGGTGATATAGTAACTCCCATTGGAGTCCCTAATACTTGTTTGTAAAAAAAATTATTAAATTTACAATAAGTTGTTCAAAAATAAACTCTAATATTTTTGAAAAATTGATTTTTGTTAAAGTAGTGTTATCTTTAATTTGATCCCAAAGTTTTCCCACACTAATCTCTACTAATTTATGAGGTACCTATATTGCTGAACAAAGAGATAATAGCCCAGGATTATTAGGAGTTAAACACAAAATTTTTCATAACCAGCTGAAAATTGGTGTACGAGTTCGATTTATTGTCTGAAATAACCGACTAAAACTCCCCGCGCTTCCCCTGCTTGCTTTATGAGATATTGGCTCCTTACTTTCTAGCCCATTCAAGGGTACGCGCTGCTTTCTGGGTAAGCGTCTCAGCCAGCCTACAGTGACACTACTGACTACTAAGTTACTGAAAATCTCCTGTTGGGCACCGTTGGCCTTGTTAAGTAAAGAAAATGTCATGAAAGCGAACCAAAATGTGTGCACGTGCACATACATAACAGCAGAAAGTGAAAAAAGATAGTTTTCTTTCCTAGTCCTTCACAACTACCGATACCCTAAGAAACATGCATTGTTTAACTGCAGAAAAGTAGGTATTTCAAAAGGCAAATTATTTTCAAAGAAATAGATAATACTTTTAATTTGAAAGGTTCATAGTTCAAGTTCATAGATATTGTAGGCAATTCTTGAACTAATAATTATTCTCCCAAGTTTTATAAAGCTCTATCAGAGAATCACAGAAATTATTTTAGATACATTTCACAAACAAGTAAGTTTGTGATAAAGAAGTCGGAACAAATTCAGTAGATATAGAGCTGAATTGAGTGATCTCAGACTGATGATTGTCTAGTATCAGCTACAGTTTTCCACGGCTGATCATATTATGGTAGTTTATCCAGTTTTTCCTCTTTCACGCCTCATGCGTCTAGTCCTTTCTTCTCAGAGCCTCTGGCCATGTTGCTTTTTGTGATTCCTGTCATGGTCTTGAGTTTGAGACCAATCTTGTCTACCTTCCATTATTCATTCGAGCCACATGATAAGATATTCCTTCAACAGCATTTGTGTTTTTTTTTCCAATATCCTCGTTCGGGAGCCTATCTCTCGAAAAACATCTGCTCCTCTATCAAAATAGAGTAGGTATATTATTCCTAACCAACAGCAGTGGTCTACCTTAATATTTATATAAATTGGATGAATACGTAAGAATTTTTTCAAGGTATAGTTTCCATTTTATTGATTACAAAGAAGTGTTTCCTGAACTTGAGACATAATCTATGTGTTGATTAAATGGTAAATGAGAGTGTTTCATAAAAGTGAAATCCCAAGAATATTTTCATGATGTCAGAAGCGATATTGAAAATAAAAAAAGTCAGAACCCAATGTGGACCACTATCCAGAGGTGGTGATCACTATTTCCTGAATGCCAGAATCCTCTTTTCTTGTCAGAGGCAAAGTTGGTATTAGCATACAAAGAAGAGATTAGAGAAGAGATTGACCGAATACAATTTCATACAATTTCATCATCATCATAGGCGATCACTCGATAACGAGTATATCTTCTATTCTATTCCTATTGTTGTCGATTATGCGTTTTCTGATGGAGATATAAACCAATTCTGTAGCCGCACACTCTTCCATAGTCATGGCACACCCAGCCTCTATTCTTTCGCTCCTTCCCACGGTATCTCTTTTCGGTCTCGTCTCTGCGTCGCTGTTCTTCTTAATTGCTGGTATCGATGCGGCACTTTGCCATATTCTCCTTATGAACATCTTTGTAGCGTTTTTGTTGACCTTCTTGAATTCGTTTTCCCTTTTTTCTGTAGAGTCATGGAAGACGTGTTTCGGACATGCGGACGAGTGAATGTAATGTACCTAATGCTTTACAATACATCCACAATTTCATTCATACAATTAATTGATTACGCTTTATTCAATAAAACGTTCATTTAATAATAATGCAGATTTTTTATTCTCTACATTTTATTTTTTCCGTATCTTTCACATTTGAGTTGGTAGCCCTAGGGTCTAGAGAGGTTCGAAGTCCAAATCGCTACCCTTTAGAACTGCTGATCTAAATGTAAAACACGCAAAAACGGTAAAGAAGGGACATCAAAATGTACAGAATAAAAAATCTATTTGAAATTATGTCTACACCCGCGTGCTGCATCTTACAGGGGGTGTGACCAAAAAATTAAAGTTTTAGTGCAAGAAAATCTAAGAATAAATATTTAAACCGCATCTTGCTACGATGGTCCGTTTTCGAGTAAGGGCGGTTTAAAGTTACAACTAGGTGTTTGTGACAGCACACTGGATTATCAGGCACAGTATTAACGCGTGTAGGAATTTTCCAAAACAAACGACAATTAATTGCAACCACTCAAAGTATAGGGTACGGTTCACTGACGACTGAATGAACAGAAGACTACGATTTCGGCGGTTGTGACGTCACAAGTTCCTGCATAAATTATCTTTACATGGAATTTTCTCGGAGATTATTTTGAATATAGGAGTGCGGTTTTCACGAGAGATCGTAGATTTTCTTTCTTGATTTAATAAGCTTGAGTTGTTTTTTAGGGTCACACCTCGTTTAAAAGAATTGGTGTGGCGGTTTTAAGGTAAGGGGGCTTCAGGGGTAAATATTTTTTCGTGAAAAAACATTCACACTCAACAAATTAGTTGTCATGCTTCGAAGAATTTCACAAATCTACCTATTTACGCGGACAACGTTGAATAGCAGTAAGTTTCAAAATAAACACCCTGTATAATTCAATATCTCATGATGCAAGCGGGGGAGGGTTGGGGAGTTTTAAATTACGACTCAATATTACACCTAGAATAAGTGTACCCTATTATATACTTATATTATATAATATTATATATTATATTATATATACTGGTTATAAAGCATTTTGTGTTTCTGGCTAATTTTCACCTAAAAATCCTGAGCTATAACATCTAGACTAATAATAAGGATATAGGTAGGTGAATATTTGTCATTTGCAAACTGTGAAAATTCGAAAGAGTCTTTGATATAGTATTCATTGTTTTTATCATAAGAATTAGTTAAAATATCCGTCAATAACAAAGCTAATTTGCTATTTGAGGCATTGATTGAAAAAATAATTGATCTAAGTGGTTTATGAATTTTAGGAAGACCATACAGTTTTGGAGGTAATTGGTCATAAATTGTTAGTTCTCTTGTTAATTTTTCATAATTGTCCATGATCCTTCATATATTCAACTAATTTAATAGCTTTTTGTTGGTAGGATCATTTTTAAGTTGTTTGTAACAATTCTGATTTTGAAGTATATATACTATTAGATTTTTCTATATACATTTCTTTAGAAAGAATGACAGTTACATTTGCTTTGTCAGCTCTTGTTATTATCAACTCTTTATGATCATTAAAAAAAAAATCAGTTTCATGGAATAGAAGGTTTATATAGTTTTGTTTTATAGGTCTTTGGAGAAAATTCTTTAGTATGTTAGTAAACTTTGCTCTAATAATATTTATTTCATTATTATGAACAATTCTAATAATATTTTCTACATCTGCAATTAAAGTTTTCACAGAGACTAAATAAGTTATGTTGTTCTGTCTTTAATTTATTAAATTTAGCGATGTTTATTTTTTTAATAATTTTGAATTGTTTCTCAAAATATAATGTTTGTTTATTTTGAAATTCACTTATCATGTTTAAAGGAAGTTTGTTGTTCAATTTGTTCTTCAAAGCAATTAAACCCTTTTCCAATTTAGTTAAAATTGAAATTGTTAGTGATATTTCTAAATTAATTAGTTTGTTATTTAATCTTTGACTAAACTCCATTACTTTTCATCCTGTGTGTTCACCATTTATTTCCAAAAGCATACCAATATTCTTAGTTCCATCTTGTATATGTCTTGGTATGATTCAATTTTGTCTGCATTTAATTAGAAATATTTTTCTGTTTTTGGGAGATGATATTTTGTTGTTCGTTTTTGCCCATTGCTTCAAAAGTGAAACAGTGTCCTCTCTTTATTGATGTTTTATGGATTGGTAAAACTCCATTAAGAATACAATAGGAAAATTATTTACAAAAATTAATAAATTATCATAACATAAGCTAACTTTCCTTTGGAATAATATACAATTTTTTTAAAAGCATTTCCGCACCATTTCTTAAATCATTGTTATTTTTAAATTTCAAATTATACCCCTACCTGAAAGTACGACAAAAAAGTCAGAATGTAACAATTTATTTAAAACTTATTATCCGTTCACAATCCGATGTCTACAGGTAGGTACAGGTAAAATCACCTTTCAATGCTATTTGATAGGGAAAGGTGATAAATTTACCTGCACCTGTGAACATCGGATTGTGAACGGGTAATATGCCAAATTTTCCTTTAATTATTATTTTTTATCCCATTTTGACATTTAAAAATGACATTATTGAACGCATAACAAAAAAGGTAAGTAGACGTTTATCACCTCAGTGATTTAAAAACATTTTAACTCACTCTCGGCATTTTAAGTCACTCAGCCCAACTAAAAATCTGACACCTCGGTGATTTAAAATATTTTTAACTCACTCTCGGCATTTTTCCTTGTACTTTATTTTTTAAATTTCCACAAAATGGGATAAAATTTTGTATACATCACGTGAGTTAAAATGTTTATTCATTCGAAGAAAATTAACCCACTCGCTAGGGCTCGTGGGTTAAACTTTCTTCTCATGAATAAACACTGATTTAAGTCACTTGGTGTATAAATAACTATTTAATTTAAAACACGTAGCTGTAAGTAAGCCTTTCTTTTAATATTTACTTGCATACATATTTTTCTCCTTTTTATGCAGCCCTGAAGAAGAAAATAAAAATTTTCGAAAGCATGGCGTACCACAAAAGTTTTGAGACTTTTATTTAGCCCTTAGACTGATACCCCATAAAATACCTTCTATTTATAACTGGTCAATCACGAATACCTACACTCCTTGTTATTTATACATACATATAATTTCCCTGAGGGTAATAATAAAATGTAAGTGTTTAAAATTATTCTTCTGGTTGCTTTCTAATTTTCTGGTTTTTAGATTTCATGGGGGGCCCAGGCTCTCTTAGGCCCGGTTTATTCATCTCCAGATAAACTTGCTGGTAATTATCTGCAAGATAAATTTACCGTTCTATAATTCTATTGATCAGCGGAAAAGTGGCCGATCAATGGGATTACAGATTGCGTTTTTATCCGTCAGATTACATACCTGACAGTTTATAATAAGGTGAATAAACCGGCCTCTAATAATTAAATTTAGTTTCCAATATCATCGTTAAAATATTTGAAATCTTCGCGTTATCCTACCCAAACTAACTCATACTAACCCAATACTAAACCAAACCAACTCAAACTAATAATAATAATAATAATAATAATAATAATTGTTTGTGATAGTTGACGTTCTTATAAGGTATAAAATTCAGCTGAAAATCTTTATAACTCAACTGATGTAGTTTCCATTTGGTCAATAGACAACAACTTTTCCAGATTCTACCATGATAACGTTTAACTAAACAATTTAACAGTCTTTGTTTTTCGGTTATCCAGTTTACCAAATTCTACCACTTTTCACGTCTTATGGCCGTATCCACCAGTGATAAAAATCCATAGTTATCTTTAAACTGTTAGTTAACCAGTTATGTTCTTATCCACCGTCAAAACGTTGCTTCTAAAACAGTGGTTAAATTAACTGCAGAAATTTGGCTGTTTAAATTAGATAATCGGTCAATTAACTTTATTGAAAGTGAGGTTACTGCGCTGTTGATGGTTGATTTTTTGATATTTTTTTAAAATTTTGTTTGTTGGTGTTTCAAAAGTTTCTTGATAAGATTAAAATGGAAGATGAACTATATGACGATGACCTCGATATCCTAGATATAGTGCAGGATGGGTTTCCTAGGGCTCAGTGGGAAAGACCAGATTATTTCGAATCTATGCCTGAGTTAGCATTCTTCAAAAGGTTTCGGCTAACAAAACCAATGGTTCAACAAGTATTGGAGGAAGTGGAAGAGCACCTGGGATATAATAATAGAATGTAAGTAGATATGCATAATGAATTTTCATTACGTAATGGGTGCAGCTGAATCAAAAACCCGAGCAAAAACCTCATACCTAGGCCATAGGTATGTTAAAGTTTCCAATGAGACTTGTCGCTGTAGCTGGACTTTATTTATTGAGAATATCTATACGATGATTGTTTATTTTATTAACCGAGCATCATCCTGTATCTGTACCTACACTCTATGCCTACCTAGAGTGACAAACAGAAATATTAAATTAAAAATAATGATATGTTACAATATGTTACTATGATTTTCTGCTCGAATTGTTGAGTTTTAAATGTATTTTTTCAGTAACAACCCAGTATCATCAATGAATCAGCTATTATTGACCCTAAGATTTTATGCTTCAAATGGCCATCAAACCTCCATAGGGGATTTTATGGGATGCGCCCAAAACACTGCTTCGCGTATCATCAATAAATGTTCTAGAGCAATAGCTGGAACAAGGCCCCTCCACGTATATATGCCTCAAACAGTCGAGCAGAAATTAGTGACACAAGAAAAATTTTACCGACTAGCACGATTTCCAAGGGTGTCCGGGGCCATAGATTGTACCCATATAAAAATTCAATCTCCAGGTAATGTCTACAAAAAGCATAACTGATAAACTTTTTGGCGTAGGTACTTATCTAGATATTATATGAAGAATTTTTTTTTTCAGGTGGCAATGATGCAGAAGTATATCGGAACAGAAAAGGTTACTTCTCCATAAATACTCAGTTAGTTGGTAATTCTGACCTGAAAATCATGGACATTGTGGCCAGGTGGCCAGGATCTGTCCATGACTCCACAATATTTAATAACTCCCGCATATTAGGGCGATTTGAGAATGGTGAATTTGGACAGGGCATACTTTTAGGTTAGTTATGACAATAACATATTTACTATTCACTACAAATGCTACTAAATTAAATTGTAGGAGACAGTGGGTACGCATTGAGAAGATTTCTATTCACACCCTTATTAAATCCACAGACAAGGGCAGAGCACTTGTTTAATGAATCTCACATCAGAACAAGGAACGTTATTGAAAGGATAAATGGAGTATGGAAAAGGAGATTCCCGGTTCTTGCCTATGGAATGCGATGTCGAATTGACAATATTTTACCCATAATAGTTGCCACTGCAATTCTGCACAATAAAGCCCGAATGATGGGAGAAGACTTACCACCAGTCCCTGACGAAATTGATGCCGATATGTTGGAATATTTGATAGACCAAGGAAATATCCCAGAAATGCCTGCTGAAAATAATAATCAACTGTTCATCAATCATAGGCAACAGATGATCGACCAATTTTTCAATTTGCTCATCTAATAACTTTTAAGGAAATATATAATCATTGTCTAAAGTAATAAAATGCGTTTTTTATTTTTTTTAACCTTGATTATTTATTTGAATGGGTTTACTAAATAATTCTTTGAACATGAACATAATATATCCTTTTCAATCTGTAGTCCAAAGGTACAGGTAAATTTATCACCTTTCCCTATAAAATAGCATTGAAAGGTGATACATTTTACCTGTACCCTTGGACTACAGATTGTGAATAGATAATAACTACATTATAAATGGAAAGAAGAACTGGTCTATGCAACACAGAAATGAACATAGAAAGAAACATATAAAAGTTTAAGGTTTTTCAAAAAAACTCATAATTTTGACCTACAAAAGACAAAATTGTAAATTAAACCACTGTTCTTCAAATTTTCAGTTTTTGAAGTGAACATATTGCTTTTGTTTTTCTCTTGCTAGTTTTATGTTTAAAATATCAATTTCAAGCTTGTTTTTAATTTCCTGGAACGCCAAATCTTGATTTATGCTTTCAATTTGTTTTTGGAGCAATAATTTCCTCTGATCCAAGAGCTCATCATATTTTTGAGCTATATGTGATGAAGCTAATATTTGAATTTCTGGTCTTCGGGTCTAACGAGTCATCTAAAAAGTAAATAGGATGGCAGAAATCACAAAATTTAAGAAAAAATAAGTAGCTAAGTTCAGTCAAACCAAACGACAATTGCGATTTTTGTCAACCTGTCTAAGCTTGTGGTATTTTCTTGTTGGAAGACGGTCCTTGCATCATATCAATAAGACAAAAGGACGACAACAAGCCATTGAAAACCGCAATTGTTATTTGTCTGAAAACACACTTACCAAACATTTTCTTCCTCTCCCTTGAGCTTTATTTTTATTTTTTTATTTGTACCTGAGCGATTATCAGTCCCTTTCGCCTTCCTTGATTGTCCTTCAGTTTTGGTTGCTTGTATCTAAGAGAACAAAATAAAGTTATGCACAGATTAGTTTCATACCTCTGAGTTTCATACCTATTATTAGATTTCTACCACGGATTTTTACACTAATATATCAGTTTTGAATAAAAAAATTGATCTGCCTTACCTGATCCTTTTTTTCCATCACAGATTGCACCTTCAATGCTGGGTTTTTTGGTAATCTGAGGTCATTTGCCATTTTGAAATTTGGTTCTTGTAATGTTTCCTGAAAAAAGTGAGTGTAATTATGTTACAGGGTGTCCCGCAGTGGGATTCTTATCTCATTTCAGGATGTAACGTATAAAATTTCAAATGGCGACGATACTTCCGAAATGAGATGAGAATCTCACTGCTATAAAGGTTAAAATGTATCATCACCCAAATTTTTCTGAAGACCTACTTGAAAATTTGGAAAATCCTGTGAAACATTGGTTTTGTTTTGGTCCTGATCAGTCGCGAAGTTTTTATTCCCAGTTTCAATGTTTTCATTCTCTTCTGACCAAATAATCTAAAAGAAACAATATATGACTATACTATAGCCAATTGGTAGGTTATGTCATTTCTTTAACTTTAAGTTCAAAAATTTCATTGAAGTAATGAAAAACAGCAAATATTTTAAGTACATAGGTACCTCAACATCAGCTTCATCCTTCTCAGGTGTTTAGGACCAGCCTGTTTTAATAGAAACAGGCAAACTTAATTTTTGAAATAAGTTGAAAATATGAAAAAACGACTCACGATAAAGATTTAAAAAAATGGGTATTGGTAAGGTCTCACCTCTGTGTCCTGGATTCTAGCTTACCCGGCAGGGGTTTCTTGATGCTCCCAAAAATGAGCTTCTGGATGGTATTATTGAGCGAAAGTACATCCGATAACCGAAATCATTGAGATCGATTGTTCTCAACGTGTCACCAAAAAACGCGGATGTAAAAGACCGTGACGTTCGTCGACTGGAGCTGTACTTTTTAACACTGTCGTAGGTTTCGTATCTCCATCGTGAGGTATAGCGCGCAAAACCCCACAAAAAGGTATATGTTTATAAAAACTCAACGCTCGATTCTTGACTCTGTGATGGAGTCCTATTAATATCGATAAATAAGAATTACCCAATTCTGAACATGGTTAAGTTGCCAGCATTACTAGAAGATCGAATAGAAGATTCTTCCTAAAAAAAAGAACAGTTTTTATTCTACAGAGTATTACAAAGAATGAACCTCCGAGAAATGAACAGAAATACAACAGTATCAGTAATATCAAAATCAGTTCAACTGTTTCTGCTGTGGTGTGGCATATACAAATACCTCGACGAATACACTAATAATACAAAAACATAAAAGTGGATAACTAGAAAACTAACTAACCTTTTCTAAACATGTCATGTTCTTCAAATAGAATTCTTGCTTGTTACTCCCTTTAACATTTTTTGGCTCATCCACATTTTTGCATTGCACAGCAATGTCTGAATCAAAAATGTTTATTAATCCCTCTACTGATTTTTGGTTGACAATTGTGATTAGTATTTTATCTGCTGCATCCAACTCAATTTGATTCTCAGGACCTCCTCCCGTTTTCATCATTTCCTGTTTATTTTTAGCGATTATTTTCCTTAAATTCCTTAAATCACTTTTTCTGTTTTCGTAAAAGCGTTTTAGGCATTCCTTGTCCCTATAGATTCCTGTTGTGGATACAGCATTGAAAGTGTCTGTTAATTCTTTCCATGCCTGTTCTTTTACTACAATGGAGCTCTTGTCTGTTGCCTTGTTTTCAATCTTGTGTTTATATTT